TCCCTCTCTCTCTTCTCTTTCTTCGTCTTCTTCTTCTTCGCCTACACCTCTCCTCTCCGTCCGTACAATCCTAACCTTACCCCATCCTCAAAATCCTTCCATTTCCAAAACCCTAAACCTCCACTCAATCACCACGTCTTGGTGTTCCTCGATTCCAAGTCTCAGAAGCCAACCCCAAATCGGCTCCAATTTCAACGTCCTTGTCGTACGCTGCGTTTCATCTGTCCCGCATGCAGACACATTGGAGTGGAACGAGCCGCTCTCGTGCTCGGAGGTCGGCGATGGCCACAAAGCGATGGTGGACGAAAATGCTAAGCCCTCTATCCCTGTTAGAGCCTACTTTTTCTCTACCAGGTTTGTTTTTAGCTTTTATTTTTTAAATTTAGTAAATTTGTTTTGAAAATGTCCCCGAAAATGTTTGGGGAAATGTAAAGACAAAGAATTGCACTGATTAGGTGTTCATATTGTTTATGATGAGTGGATGATTTTAATTTCTTTTGGTTTATTAATGGTTTCTATTTGTTTTTTAACATGTAATAGTGTGGATTTGAGAAGCTTAGTGGAACAGAACAGGCTGAATTTTATCCCACCAACATCGCGTATGACTAATTACGTTGTGTTTAGGTTCGGCGAGCCGTCGGATTCTAACAATGTAAGTTTACCATGTTTTCTTGGTTTGCAGTGATTTTAGTTTTGCAAAGAAAAGGATCATGATACCTTTACCACAGAGTGGGTAATAATATAATATGGTAACTTGTTAAGCTGATTTCTTCCATAGTGGCTTGCTTTTATTGCTTTCCTGCAATTTACGCAAATGTTCGGTATCTGCCTGCAAATGATACAATAAGTTGAATGCTTTCTTTGTTTCAGGGTTTGGGTCTTAGTTTAAGTGGGAGTGACTGTTGCTACATGGTAGTTTTTCAGTATGGCTCCATTGTCTTGTTTAATGTCCGTGAACACGAGATCGATGGGTATTTGAAAATCGTGGAAAAACATGCATCAGGATTGCTACCTGAAATGAGAAAGGATGGTCAGACCCTATATATCAAATATATCTGTTTAACGATGCAGTTCATCAATTCTCCATTACTTAAATTTTTGGATTCATAATATTTCTGTTCTGAAAACATTTCACACGAGTTATTCTTTATTCATATAATATGAAAGAGCATAACTGTTCATAGATAAATTGATTTTATTGATATTAGAATAACTTGAAGTTTGTAATGGTACCTACTATTAGACAAATTTTGAGATGGTAAAAGATAAGTTCATATCAGTCTTGATGATTATTTACTGTACCCCACCTATATGTATGTCCCGCATGAGTAGCTTGCCGCAGATCAAAGCATCTACCCTTTTCAATTGTTGATGTTTTCAAGTGAAATCAATACTGTTAGACCATTACCTTCATTATTTTTTAATGTTGCAGTGGCATATCTTTTGTTTTCTGCTTCATGGTTGTTGCTCCAATGGGCGAGGGTTACATTTTTGGGAAAGTTTTCAAATCTGAACTTTATTGTGTTATGAAATCATAGAGTATGAGGTGAGGGAGAAGCCAACTTTGCACACTTGGATGGAAGGTGGATTGGATTACATAATGTTGCAGTACTTGAATGTTGATGGAATCCGTACCATTGGTAGTGTTCTTGGTCAAAGTATTGCTCTTGATTACTATGTGCGCCAGGTACGCTTCACGTAAGCTTTGGAGGTTCAACTTTGTGAAAATATAACTTGATGATTGATCCTCAGAACTTTGTTACTTTGTATAGGTTGATGGAATGGTTGCAGAATTTACTGACATTAATCGTGAAATGGAAACTACGGGAAAGTTTAAAATGAAGAGGAAAAAACTATTTCAGTTAGTGGGAAAGGCAAATTCTAATCTTGCTGATGTGATTCTTAAGCTTGGACTTTTTGAGAGGTATTGATTTTAAATTCAATATTGTAGTTATTAATCTGAAACTTGTTTTTGGATTACATTGATCCTCCATAGCATGGAAGTAGTTATCTGTATGTATGATTGCAATTGGCTGGAAAAGTGAGTGGGAAAAGACAAAGAAACATCTTTCCCCTGTTCTTTTGTGAGTTGGTATAGGATGAAAGTGTTGATCTTAGAAGTTTTCATTTATCCAGAAATTTTATTACTCGATACTGTGCTATGGCCATATTTTGTAATGGGGCTTGTGTAGAAAGCTTTGTCGGAGATGAATTCTTTTCTTAAACGATTGTGTCCAAGATTATTGTTATTTGAAATTTCAGATGCTACCATATTCCAGCTGTTAGTTATCTTTCGAGGCATTGGGAGTTGCAATATCAAATATTGTTATGATCTGTTATTTTATGTTTTTTCTGACTATATAATAGGAAATTCTATTAATATATGATTTAAACTTGTGGTGTGCAATTCCATAAATACTCTGTGGCTTATATTTGTTAAGTTGTGGTTCAGACCGTCCATCGGGGAACCAACTGTTTTCTCTGTGTGATGTTTCTTTGAGGGTCTTATTACCACTCAGCTCTATCAAATAGCATTGAGCAACAGTGATTTCAAGATTCAGTTTTTCACTCTTTTAAGATATTTTAGTTTCCATGCATGTTTAGTCTAACTCATGAAACTGATTTTACAGATCAGACATTGCCTGGAAGGATGCCAAATATGCCCAGATATGGGAGTATCTCAGAGATGAATTTGAGTTAACTCAGAGATTTGCAAGTCTTGATTTTAAGTTGAAGTTCGTGGAGGTACAAGAAACATTTTATTGCTCAATACTGGTTACTAAATCTGGAGAACTGCTTTTCAGCTAATGTTTGATGTGGTGGTGACATTGTTTTTTTCTTCTTTGCAGCACAACATTCGCTTTCTTCAGGAAATTCTTCAAAATAGGAAGTCCGATTTTTTGGAATGGCTCATCATTGCGCTGATAGGTGCCGAAATTCTTCTATCTCTGTATGACATTGTCCACCGATCGGCACTTGCTACGCTTTAGCACTAACGATCAGTGACCCATGAGGTCAAACATGCCCTTATTGAATGTCCTGGTCTTTGTATATTTTACTGTCCCCTTCAATTTTGCTGCTGCGGCTTACACTTCTCATACATACCAATTAAGTTGATCTTATAATTTGATGATCATTGAATGTTATCTTCGTTTTGTCAAGTTTGTAAATATTCTCATTGAGCTTGGAAAAGCTTCCACTCAGCAAATAGTTTCCTTGTTCAGCTGTTTCATGTGAAACACATGTGAAACATGTAAAACATTCAATTGAATCTGCTTGAAGCACTCTAAAATTCAATAAGTTCCTTTATCTACTTCACCTAAATGCAACACACAAATTGTTTGAAGCATGTGAAAAACGTGTTTGGCTCCGTCGAACACTTTCAAAACATCCTTTGAATTAGGTTGAGAGAGTGGCAATTGGCTGGAGATTTTTATTTTATTTTATTGACAGGGTAATGTTCTAAAGGTTGTCAACCAAAAAGTAGAAGTTCCCGTGATTCAAGGTACTCTGATTTAGAGCACTTCTATCCCATTGTGTCATGGCAAAGGGTAATTGTAAGTAAGGGCACACAATATTCATATGAATAGTGACTGTCCCATCAATTTTTTGATGCATTCCTACCCATTACCACTGCAACCTAAGAACAACCACTATTTACATGAGATATGATGAGAGAAATTTTTATGGATTTTGGTGTGGGAAGTGAGGAACATGGCCTAGGTATTTATAGAAAAATCTGATTTTTTTGGTATTTAAATTGGCCTCTGACGTCAGCATGTCAACTTGCCCAGGCAGCAGCCCATGCAAGTCTTGCTTTCTGGCTTGCCTAGTTTCGTGTGCCCACTTCTTACCATGGCAACTTATCCTTTGTTAGGGTTGTTTTTAGAGCTTAAGCCCCTTTTGGCAAAAATGGAGTGGAAGTGCTCTTCATGTTATGGATTAACGAATTTGAAAATGAGTGCAAGAAATTGGGCTTACTCCCCTAACCAATTGACCTAATCCGCTTATGCTACTTCAGTATTATGGAATTGTAAGTGATGAGCTGATAGGTATAGTATACGCCTAGAATATTAATTGTGTATGCATTTAGTCTTAGAGAATGACGAGTGTAAGGCTGAAATAAGCCACATGTAATGATCCTAGAATATAACTAAATGAATGGGTGAGATGCAATGTTGCTTGTGTGCATCCAGCTAAGGCTAACAGTTATATAGTGCACGCTGTGTGTGCTCACTTTTTACAGAGATAGAGAATATACACTCCTTACCTTACCTTCTTAGTGAGTAAGAGAGCATTATCAACACTATGCATTTTTCCTTATTCATTCTTCCCTTGTTTCTCTTTGCTTGTGAATCCCATAACTCAGTTAGAATCCCAAAACACTAACATGGCCTTAGAGCCAGGTTGGGTCAATTGAATCTGGGTGTTTTTCAAAATTGTGAAATTGAGCTACATTTGTGCTCACTCAAGTTCGTGACGATCGTTGAAGCTCAATTGAAATCTGAAACAAGCTGTTTTTGGTTACCTGAGATTAGAAATGTCTGGATCTGGAAGTTCAGAAGCAAGAACTCCGATCTTCTCCGGTGATAACTACGAGTTCTAGAGAATCAAGATGGTAACTATATTCAAGTCATATGGGTTGTGGACTCTGGTGGAGAAAGGAATCACAATTCCAAATTTGAAGAAGAAGAAGTTAGCTGAAGAACTATTAGCAAAACAAGATGATGAAAAGATGGTTGCGATCCTTATGAAAGATGCAAAAGCTCTGAGGATGATTCAAAATGCATTTTCCGATCAGATCTTCCCTCATATTGCCAATATAGATTCAGCTAAGATGGCATGAGAGCTGTTGTATGGAGAATATCATGGTGGTGACCATGTCAGATCGGTAAAACTTCAAAACCTCATACGTGAATTTGAATACACTAGAATGCGTGATAATGAACCTCTATCTGTGTATCTTACTCGATTGAATGAGCTGATTAACCAGATGAAAACATTTGGAGAGACTCTTTAATGAGAGGCTTGTTCAAAAGGTTTTGATCAGTCTTAGTAAAGTTTATGATCTTATTTGTTTGGTGATTGAGAACACAAAAAGTCTAGAAACGGTAAAATTGCAGGAAGTTATTGCAATCCTGAAGAGCCAATAGCAACGTTTTGAGCTGCATAATGTTGATACAACTGAGAAGTTATTTGCCTCATTCTCAGTTAGTCCAAAAAATCAGAAAAAAGGAAGCAACCAATCTGGTTCATCAAAATTCCAGAAGAATTGGAATCCAAAGGGCAAGCCATAGGAATCAAAATCCAAAAATCAACAGACTAGCTCTGCACAGAATTCATCACAATTAGTGAGTCAAGAAGGTTCAAAACCACAATACAAAGTGTACTTAAAGTTTAATTTTGGTGAATGCAGGTATAAAGGAAAGCCTAAGTGTTACAATTGTGACAGATTTGGACATTAGGATAGAGAATGTACTACAAATAAAACTATGCAGAAAGCTAACTATGCAAATCAAGTGGGAGTAACAGGAAATTTGTTTTATGCCAATAGTACCATCTCTGAAACAGGTGTTAATGGTGAGTGGTACATAGACAGTGGCTGCAGCAATCATATGACTGGGGATAGAAAACTGCTAGCTGACATAAGAATAAATGTAATAGGCAAGGTACAAATGCCAACTGGAGAGCTTGTAAATGTAGTTGGAAGATCTAATCTGGTGATTGACACTAGCAAAGTTAGAAAGTACATCAAAGAAGTGATGTACCTACCTAGGTTGAAGGAGAACTTGCTAAGTGTGGGACAGATGGATGAGCATGGTTATTATCTGCTATTTGGAGGCAAAATGTGCAGTATTTTTGACAATGCTTAACTAGAGAATCTTATCATCAAAGTGGAAATGAAAAGGAATAGATGTTATCCTTTGGCTCTATTACCTAATGATCATGTTGCACTGAAAATAAATGTATCTCACTCTACTTGGACTTGGCACAAAAGGCTAGGTCACCTACATCTAAGGGGGCAATTCCAACTCAAAGAAAAGGAAATGGTCAATGGATTTCTACACTTAGAAGAGGTTGATGAAGTCTGTGAAAGGTGTCAACTTGAAAAACAGCATAGAGAGTGGTTTCCAAAGAACCAAGCATGGAGAGCAAGAAATCATCTTAAGCTAGTTCATGTGGATTTGTGTGGACCTATGCAAAATGAATCCACTGCTGGAAGCAAGTATTTCATGCTTTTTATAGATGACTATACAAGGATGGTCTGGGTCTATTTTCTCAGATACAAGTCTGGTGCATTGAATTGTTTTCAAAAGTTCAAGTCCATGGTAGAATTGCAAAGTGGTTTTAGAGTGACGTGTTTGAGAAGTGATAGAGGTAGTGAATTCACATCCTGTGAATTCAACAAATTGTGTGAAGAAGAAGAAAGCATTCAAAGACAACTCTCTATGGCCTACACTCCACAACAAAATGGAGTAGTAGAAAGGAAGAATAGAACTGTGGTTGAAATGGCAAAAGCCATGCTTCATGAGAAAGGATTACCTTATTATTTGTGGGCAGAAGCTGTACACATAGCTGTTTACATACTAAATAAGTGTCCTACTAGAGCACTTGGAGATAAAACTCCATTTGAAGTATACAGTAAGAGAAAACCAGGGATTGCTTATTTTAAAATATTTGGTTGTTTGTGTTATGCACATATACCAAGTGAAGTGAGACAGAAGTTAGATGCAAAGAGTACCAGGGGTATATTTATGGGTTATGCAACTTGTGGAAAAGGTTACAGAGTGTATGATTTTATCACTAAGAAGCTGCTACTCTCAAGGGATGTTGTGTTTGATGAAAATGTAGCTTGAGATTGGAAGGAAATGTCTGAGAAACAGGTAGCTATGACATATCATGAAGAGCAATCCTATATATCTGAAACTACATCACTAATGACACCTTTTGGAAGCCATGATCACATTCAATCACCAAGGTTGTCATCTCATTATGAACCATCAGGTGACATAAGTAGCAGCATGAGAAATACTCAAGCCTTTGATCATACTCCACTAAAAAGGAGAAATCTAGATGATGTTCTAGCACAATGCAATCTTTGCCTTATGGAACCTGAAAAATTTGATGAAGCTGGTAAAGATGAATCATGGATGAAGGCTATGGAAGATGAACTGTTAATAATTGAGAAAAATGCAACATGGGAGTTGGTGGACAGACCAACTGATAAGCCTATAATTGGAGTTAAGTGGGTGTTCAAAACCAAGTTAAATCTTGATAGCTCAGTACAAAAGAACAAGGCAAGGCTGGTAGCCAAAGGTTACTATCAGAAACCAGGTGTATACTATAATGAGACCTTTGCACTAGTAGCTCGACTTGACACAATTCAAACACTAGTTGTATTGGCAGCACAGAAGAGTTGGAAATTGTATCAATTAGATGTTAAATCTGCTTTCCTAAATGGTGTTTTAGAAGAGGAGGTGTATGTAGATCAACCAAATGGGTTTGTGGTCAAGATGAGTGAAGACAAGGTGTACAAGCTTCATAAAGCTCTGTATGGCCTAAAACAGGTACTAAGAGCTTGGTATGGTGAAATTGACACTTACTTTGCTCAATGTGGATTTGCAAAAAGTCAAAGTGAGGCCACTATTTATACCAATACTAGAGGAGAAGCATAAATTCTGATTGTGTCCATCTATGTAGATGACATTGTGTACACAGGGAATAGTCAGTCAATGCTAGAGGAATTCAAGAAAAACATGATGGTAAAGTATGAAATGACAGACTTGGGGCTTTTGCATCACTTTCTAGGAATGGGAGTCATTCAAACACATACAAGTATTTTTATTCTTCAAAGAAAGTATGCAACATCTTTGTTGAGTAAATTTGACTTGAGTGAGTGTAAACATGTTTCTATACCCTTAGTTACAATTGAAAAGCTAAGCAAATATGATGGCAGTGGTCCAACAAATAAAGAACAATATAGGAAGATTGTGGGAAGTCTATTGTATCTTACAACCACAAGACCTGATGTGATGTATGCAGCTAGTCTACTTGCTAGATTCATGCACTGCCCCACTAATAAGCACTATCGGATTGCAAAAAGAGTTCTCAAGTATGGCCAAGGAACACTTGACTATGGTTTGGAGTATGTGAAAGGAAGGAATGCAGTCTTAATTGGCTACTGTGATAGTAGCTGAGGTGGCTCAGTTGATGATAGTAAAAGCACCTCAAGGTATGTTTTCTCTTCTGGCAGTGGAGTTTTTGCTTGGGCCTCAGTCAAACAAAACTGTGTTGCCCTCTCTACTACAGAGGCAGAGTATATCAGTGCATCATAGACAACTGCACAAACAATTTGGCTCAGATTTGTGTTAGAAGACTTTGGTGAATTTCAAGCTGAGGCTACTCCACTTCAGTGTGACAATACTGCTGAATTGCCATCACAAAGAATCCTGTGTTTCACCAGAAAACCAAGCACATTGATCAAAGATATCACTTCATCAAGGATGCTCTATAAGAAGGAATCATTGATTTGATTTACTACACTACAAATGAGCAACTAGTAGATATCTTCACAAAAGCTTTGGCTAAAGATCAATTCTGCTACCTCAGAGATAAGCTTTGTGTGAAATCAGCTCAAAAATTAAAGGGGAGTGTAGAATTGTAAGTGATGAGCTGATAGGTATAGTATAAGCCTAGAATATTAACTGTGTATGCACTTAGTCTTAGAGAATGACAAGCGTAAGGCTTTAAAAGGTAAGGCTGAAATAAGCCACATGTAATGATCCTAGAATATAGCTAAATGAATGGCTGAGATGCGATGTTGCTTGTGTGCATCCAGCTAAGGCTAACAGTTATATAGTGCATGTTGTGTGTACTCACTTTTTATAGAGATAAAGAATATACATTCCCCACCTCACCTTCTTGGTGAGTAAGAGAGCATTATCAACAATCTGCATTTTTCCTTCTTCATTCTTCCATTGTTTCTCTCTGCTTGTGAATCCTATAAACCAGCTAGAATCCTAAAACACTAACAAGTATATGTGCTCTTTACCTGTAATCAAATTGACAGATCAATTTGAAGACATTGTCGGCGACAGATTAAAGTGCTCCCAACTATTGCAGTATAGAATTGGACGCTGTGTGTGCGCACTTTGAATAGTCTAGTCCACCACAGTCGAGCTCCTTCTAGATTCCTCGTCTCTTTGTTATTTGGTGCCATGCGTCAGTCAAAACATACTAAATATAATTAATTATTGTTATAATAATAAAATAAATAAGGCCGAAAGGCAAATGTGCCAAATTAAAATCTTGAGAGAGGTGAATTTCACTGCTGATTTTCTGGCTTCCGTGGGTCATCGGTTTTCCCATCTCAGTTGTGGGAGCATGGCCTGCCCTTAAGCTGTTCTATTCCTTTTTTCTTCGACCCTGCAGGGCCTGCGCTGCATGTCCTAGAGGCTTTTGTTTGCTATAATTATGTTTTCCTCATTGAAAAAAAGGATCATTGGCCTTTTGGAAAAAAAATGTGCGTAGCAGTGTTCGGCTATAAACCTCACATAGCGTAGCTTGTGCACAAATGATGTCAGACTGATGGATGATACATATACATATACATTTTCTTAAAAAATATACCAGTATGAATATGCGTTGAGTTTAGACTTTACCTTTTTGCATAAATAAACAGAGTGAGAGAAACGTGATCAATTATATAACATTATCCTGCTAACCATGGAGGTTTTATATAGTTAGTTTTATTCAGTGGCTGAATTTGTAGGTGCTATGTCTACATTTGATGAAGTAGGTATATATGTCTCTCTGTAGGGTTCCACAATTTTTGTACCTAAGTGAATTTTATACTAAGAGGGCAAGCAAACCTAGACAATAAGGACAAGAATATTCGTGGGAGTTAGAGTGGGTGGACTAATTAATCAAAATTATACACAGCAAACATTAGTCCACATGGACCCTTCTATATATATGTATTATGTAACTTTTGAAGAGAGAGAGAGAGAGAGAGAGAGAGAGAGAGAGAGAGAGAGAGAGAGAGAGAGAGAATGGAGGCCAAACCCAAAGAAGTAGAAGAAGTTGAAACATGCAGTGAAGATGCAGAGGATCATCCTCAATGAGGAGGCTGGAAAACCTTCCCCTTCATTTCGGGTCTCTCCCTTCATCTCTCGCTCGATTAGTAATACTTTTTCGTTAGAGATCTGACAGAAGAATATTTTCATTTTATTATATGTATATGTGTGTGTGTGTGTTTTGAATAAATTAATGAATTTGATGATGAAATGATGAACACTCAGGAAGTGTGCTGGGTCTGTCCGTAGCAGCTGGCGGGTGGGCTTCGAACTTGATAGTATTTCTGATAACAAAATTCAACGTGAAGAGCATAAGCGCAACGCAGATCAATAACATCATCCTTGGTACCAACAATCTCTTACCCATTGCCGGAGCCTTCATTGCCGATTCCTTCTTGGGGTCTTTCTCTGTCGTCTCCATTTTTTCCTTCATTTCTCTGCTGGTAATTAATATTTTCTCTACTGGCAATACTCAATACTAGCTCTTTTGAGATATTGGTATGCGTGTGTATATGTAGTATTCATTATGAAAATGGCATGATCACGTCAACTGCCACATAAGGTAGTCAACTAATGTGGTCTATCTTGTATGTCTCTTTGGGTGGGAATATATTTCCCTTGTTACTATTTTGCTGTCCACTATCTAAAATAATAGGGAATAGGTGACCAAAAAGGGTGACATATAAAGTGCATCAATAATAACATGATATATTGATCATCCCATTGACCTTGATCAGGGCATGATCATGTTAACCGATCATAGCTACAATACATTCCTTGAGGCCTTCATCCTGTCT